GAATTAAGAATGTCCTGAACTATAGTTTAACTGCCACCAAAACACTCAGCTTTATTATTCAAAGAAACCAGGGAAAAGCTGACTTCGACTCGCTGGCAAAGCAATTACTGGAAAACAATAAATTTATTGATGCTGTTGAATTAGTAGAGGGCGGTACAATAACGCACGTTTACCCCCTTGAAGGAAATGAAGACGCCCTTGGCTATAATATCCTCAGCGATTCGGCAGTAAACAAGGAAGCACAAAGGGCCATCAACGAAAATGGTTTATATTTTGCCGGCCCGCTCAAACTGAAACAAGGATACGATGCCATCGTGGGCCGTCTGCCCATTTATGTAAATAATAAATTCTGGGGCTTTTCCGCTGTGCTGATCAAACTCTCAACACTCATAAAAGCAGCACAATTAGATAGCACTTCGGGCAGGGATTATATTTTCCAGCTATCAAAAATAGATCCCAACACAGGGCAGGAGCATTTCTTTTTGCCCAATCCCCATTTATTTCGGAAAGAGCATTCAGCTTCAGTCAACGTAACAGAAGGCGACTGGAGAATCTATGCGCGCTTTGTGAAACCCGAAACTCTTGGGAACCTCCTTCCCTTCTCTATCCTTGGTCTTATACTGGCCATTTCTGGTGGTTGGTTCGCCTGGTATGGCGCACGACAACCTTATCGCTTAAAACTACAGGTTGACGAAAAAACGAGGCAATTGCGCGAAAGCGAAGAAAAATATTTCTCATTCTTTGAAAACGCATCTGATTCCATTATAGTGATAGACCAGGAAGGTGTTATTGCCGACGTCAACATTAGTTTATGCAGGCTATTGGAGTATTCCAAAAATGAACTAACAGGTAAAAAATTCAGCGAGTTGGAAGACATTGAACAGGTAAGAGCGGACCCGTTGCGTTTCGATCTGCAAGAAAGTGGTCAGGATATCATTAAGGAAAGGCGGCTTAAAAAGCGGGATGGTGGTTTCGTGGAACTGGAGTTGAACGTAAAAGTAATCGATGGCAACCGATTCCTGGCAATTGGGCGCGACCTGAGGGACCTTCGTAGTGTGCAGAAGCAAATTGCCCTCAGTGAATCTACACTCAGGGGTGCTTTTGAACATTCTGCTATAGGCATGGCACTTGTATCGCCGCAGGGAAAATGGTTGCGGGTTAATAATGCGTTATGCCAAATGCTGGGATATAGCGAGGAAGAAATGCTGAACACCTCTTTTAAAGATATCACCCACCCCGACGACTTGAACAGCAGTATT